TCATAAATCATAGTAATTCAAAAACAAGTTGATCACTATTTTTCCCCCTGTATCCCAGGATTAGGTAAACATTATGGAAATACTCTACTAATACAACAGTGAAACAGGTTTCAAGGCAGTCAAAATGTGTTGTAACATATTGACTCTGTTTTATGATTCTACATTTTGCATACCTTGTTCATTTGAACTGATGTACACTGGGGAGACAAAAGACCACAACACATATGAATAGAAGAACATCAAAATTCTGCAAGGCTGTGCAATACCAAGAAACCTGCTGTGGATGAACGTGCTTGTTCCACTAGTTATCACATCAAATTGAGTAACTGACCACTAGTAAAAGAGAAATTAACCACTCTTGCAAATAATTATTTTTGTAAAGCTGAAACCAGTAATACTCTAACTTCTGCTCTCCACATGATTTGAAAGAAAACAGAACAGTTTTGCCATATAACTTCTACTGCAAACAAACATGGGCAACATACTAAAATATCAACCATGCAGTTACACACACATATTCATGCTCTTTCTTTAAACTATTATGATTTATTTTTCAGCTCAGCCACAGGATAGGTAGACTATTTGGCACCTGTCTTGTGAAAGTGGGTTTTCTCAAGGCTCTTCCATTTCTATGGCATTTGATTTATAGATCCCCACCACTATGTGACCCTGTCGTAGGGTCCTAGTTTGTTGAAATGTAAATCAAGTCTACAGCCATAGCCTTCATCTTGTTACCTTTGTCTATTTCCAACTTACCATTTTTACCCTTAGTCTGTGTCCAAATTTTAGACTCTTGTAGCTCTGAAAAAAAATTTAAATCCTGTTAAGTTTCAAGAAACTCAAACTTGTGGTATCAGTTAGAAACCTTTTCTTAGATAATACAACAACCAAAGTAAATATAACTAACATGAGTGGGGCAAAGGGGAATCTCAATATCCCCAAACATCCTAGTTGGGGAAAATTCTGTGAATTTTCTTTTAAAAAATAAATTCCTGTCATGATTAAAATTTAAAAAGAAAATTATCTCTCACATCATATGGAGATATAATCAGATGCTTGGACAAGACAGTTACTACCAATAGATAAACCCCAATTTGAACAGATTTTAATAGAACAGGTCTTAATAAAGGCATAAATAACGATCATAGCAGAGTTAAAGTGAATGAAATATGGATTTTGTTCATAAATATATATATAAGTAACAATGTTTTTGTTTTAGATATGTTTCATCTCTAAATTTTTAACAGATGAGGATATTGTCAGTCTTTATAAAAATGCTATTAAGTTTGTCACCTGCTGTTTATGATATCATTGTAACATTTTCGCATGATTGATGTGACATTCTACTTGTTCCAAGAGTGTGGAAAGACATTTGGTTTTTATCCAGACAGTGATAGTATGAAAAGTGATACCTATTCTAGTAATTGCAAGGGATAACCTAGGATTTATTTCCAACCACATTTGACAATTTGATTTAAACAAATAAAGTATGGTATAGTAAAATGTAAGATGTTCAATATATCAGAAGTAAGGTTTTTTCTGATGCTACAATTGTATCAATAAAAACTATATTTCTTATTATTCATAAAGAATACTATACTGCAGTTTGAAAATGATGCAATTGTTGCATCATAGGGCATGTACTAGAAAACTTTGGATAACAAGGCAGTCGATGCCACTGTTGTGTCATTTGTTTATAGAGATATAAACTGTTATTAAACATGAAATGGTAATTAGAATATAGCAATGGAAACATTATTTCATTTCTGTTTAAAGGCATGGACATATAGAAGAAGTAAATAAATGTAGTAAGAACTTTACAGTCTTTAATATCTGTGTTATTCTAGAAAATAAGCTGTTATTTATGTTAAAAAAAAGTGAAAAACTGCAAAATGACAAATCAAGACAAGTTCCATAATTCTTCAAAATTTTTCACTTTGCATCTGTCTCTAATGATGAAGTGATGGACTGTGAATCTGAGAGTTTATAGTTTGTATCCAAATGCTGCAAAATTATGCACTGCATTTTGGAACCAGACAGTCAAATACCACCATTCAATTAGAGTAGCCCAAGAGGTGGCAGTGGGTGCTATTGACTAGCTGCTTTCTCTCTGGTTTATCAGATCAAAATTAGGAAAATATAGTGCAGTTAGCCCTTGTGTAGATTTGAATGAATATGAGAAACAAACAAACAATGGAAAAAGAGACTTTGTCTCTTAAGTTTGAATTATTGTTCAGTCTTCACAGGTTCTAGTTTAGGAACTGCTTTGTCTCATAGAGATGATTCTTGTAGGGAGTTCTTATTACATGATTATACAATAAGCAGTGAATGGTTTACACTGTTGTAGTACTCAGTCTTATAATGTTTTATTATTGGAACCATTTTATCAATAACATTTGATTTAATGTCTTACAAAGTTTATTATTGGTGGTGTTTTGTATATAATATTAAGAATTGAATAAATTGATGTAATTATTTATTTAGACTAGTTCCCTGCTGACTTATCCCTGGAGTTACATAAGATGTTTTATTGTACTTTGTTGACACATAAACATCGTGCATTGTGACACATCTGTAAACTGCGTATTCCTAGACATTGTGACACATCCTTAAAATTATGTTCTTTTGTAAAATACATTTAAAGATTTCATTTATACATTTCCATGCATCAGTCTTATTTTAGCAGCCTCAGTTTCCTAGCATTTCTGTAAATAAAATAAATAAACCTAATTAAAGTTCAAGGATCCTTAGGATTTACATTTAAAGAGAATTACTTTTAACTGAGCCTGGCATGGCCAGGTGGTTAGGGCACTAAACTTGCAATTTGTGGGTCATGGGTTCAAATCCCTGTCACACCAAACATGCTCGCCCTTTCAGCCATGGGGGCATTATAATGTGACGGTCAATCCTACTTATTCATTGGTAAGAGTAGCCCAAGAGTTGGCAGTGGGTGGTGATGACT